GTGTGATATCGCGATATATCGTGACATAAGGTGGCCATATCGCGATATATCGTGACACATCGTGGCTGTATCGTGACATATCGCGATATATCGTGGGTCTACATGGCCATATCGCGATATATCGTGACATATCATGACCATATCGCGATATATCGTGACATATTTTGGCCATATCGCGATATATCGTGACGATCATGACCATATCGTGATACATCGTGACATATCATGGCAATATCGCGATATATTGTGACATATGGGTATATCGCGATATATCGTGAGAGATCATGGCAATATCGCGATACATCGTGGGTCTATCATGTCTATATCGTGATATATCATAACACATCAAGGCATATCGCGATATATCGTGGCTCTATCGCGATATCCCATTCCATATCGCGATATATCGTGGTTCTATCACAATATCTCATTCCATATTGCGATATATCGTGACATATAATGGCCATATCGCGATATATCGTGACATATAATGGCCATATCGCGATATATCGTGACATATCGTGCCCATATCGCGATATATCGTGACAGCTCATGACCATATCGCGATATATCGTGACATATCGTGCCATATCGCGATATATCAGACTCTATCATGATATATTGTGGTTCTATCGCGACATCTTGTTCAATATCGCGATATATCCCGTGCTGGATGGTGATTGGTCCCCTCTCCCCCGCCCTCGCTCCCGATTGGTCCCCTCTGCCCCGCCCTCGCTCCCGATTGGCCGCCGCTCACGCTCCACTCGAATCCTCCCACGGCGATTCCTCCGGCCGCGCCCGTCCCGGCCAAACCCACAAAGTGACCGGAGCCGATGTTACTGGCGAAGAGCGACGCGCCCACCTGAGTGACCACAGAGTGACCAGTGAGTGACCAATGAGTGACCACTGAGTGATCAGTGAGAGATCAGAGTGACCATTGATCCCTGAGTGACCACAAAGTGACCGGAGCCGATGTTACTGGCGAAGAGCGACGCGCCCACCTGAGTGACCAATGAGTGACCACTGAGTGACCAGAGTGACCAGAGTGACCACTGAGTGACCAGTGAGTGACCCTGAGTGACCAGTGAGAGATCAGAGTGACCATTGATCCCTGAGTGACCACAAAGTGACCGGAGCCAATGTTACTGGCGAACAGGGACGCGCCCACCTGAGTGACCAATGAGTGACCACTGAGTGACCACTGAGTGACCACTGAGTGACCACTGAGTGACCCTGAGTGACCA